GTGTGGTGTGGTGTGGTGTGGTGTGTGTGTATGTTGTGTGTGTGTGGTGTGTGTATTTCCATCCCTCTCTTCTTTCCTGCTTCAACACCAACCAGCCTTCTCTCTCCTTTCAGAACACTCCATTGCTCACATTGGATGCCGAGCTTACCATGGTTTTTTCCATCTTCTAATTTTTCACTCATTCTCAGCAGACCTCTACAGAGGCCAGAATCATACTTTGGAATTCACAAGTAATTTTTCAAGGATGTTTATGTGCAAAACCTAAATATTTATACATGAATTCTATGCCACATGACTCAATAAACACATCTGGTGCCCCTAAGTTGAGGTGTTGGGCCAGGCTGGGGGGCGCAGCCTGGACCAGCTCAGGGTCAAGATGAACCTGTCAACCATGAGTTGACCCACCTCCTGCTGATGAATGGCAAGAGGGAGCCAAGGCCAGTGAAGAAGGCACCGCTGAGTCAGGCTGACATGACAGCCAGCCCTGGAGCTCACCTGAAACATGGCTTTAGACCTGGGCCAGGTGGACGTGCTCAGCCTCCCCCAGACACTCCCGGACCCCACTAGAAAGCAGCCTTTCCCCCACGAAGCAGGCAGGTGGCCAGCACGTGGCTGAGAGCAGACCCTACACTTGCTCCAGAGCAGGGTCGGCAAACTGCAGCTCGCGAGCCACATGCGGCTCTTTGGGCACGTACATGTGTGAATTTTTCTTATTTTAATAGAGATATAATTAATACTATTACTTGATATAATATTACTTTAAATTTTCCTTTTTTGTAAAAATATATTTATGGCTCTCGAATAATTTTTAAATTGTTTTGAGGGACAGGATTGGCTCTTCCATCTCAAAAGTTTGCCGACCCCTGCTCTAGAGGGAGGAGATTCCCCGGAGATAGTCTGAGAGAACCCAGAGGTCTTCTAAGTTCCATCTTCCAAACTCACCCAACAGACAAGCAATTCCTCAGCCGTGAGGGACAAGTGAGGGGCAAGCAGGGCCCAGAAGCGTGTCCTCCAGGAGCAGGCCGACACCTCCCTGGCAGACAAGGAGGACCCAGGTCGTCTGAGAAAGCACCACTGACTGGAAGACGTGGGACGCAGGGGAGTGGCTGTGACGGAGCCTGCATGTGCGCTGAGGCCCGGAGAGCCACGTTTGCAAACTGGAAAAGACCTACAAAGGCCTTTCCCCTTTGTGCTTCTCTCCCTTCGTGGTTTCTCCAAAATGTACATTTTTTAAGCTGAAATAAAGTCCTAAACGCTCATGATCTTTTTGTTGTTGTTGTTGTTGTTGTTGTTGTAGCACAAGTTACTTCAGACACTTAAATCCGAATGACCTCTTGGGCATAGTTCTAACAGATGCAAGGAAGAGGCGAGGGTGCTCGGGCCCTCGTGCCCCTCGTCTGTCTGTGCTCCCCGGCTCTCTGCTGGGCATGCAGCCTCCTGCCTGCTAGGAGCACAGCTCTCTTCACTGAAAGAAGGCACAAGTGTCAGGATGCCAACCCAAGTGGCCTCCGACAGCCCCCACTCACCCACCCACCCACCCTGCAGGTCCACGTCACTCTTCCCACCGCTGGAGCCTTGTTCCTTGAATGGGACAGGATGTGAGCGTGTGACGCTGTGCAGTCCAGGCCTAGGCCTTCAGATGCCTGGAAGTTCCTGCTTTTGCGCCCTGGGAACCAGCCACCGTGTAAAGGAGTTCAGCTTCCCCACCGTGGGGAGAGGCTGCTGGTCAGAGTCACTGAAAGATGCCAGACAATGAAAGGAGACAAAAAAGCCTCGTCAGCCGCCAGCTGTCCCAGCAGAGGCACCAGACATGTGAGCGACGCCATTGGCACCCTCCAGCCCGAGCAGAGCTGCACCAGCCGAGACCACGTGGAGCAGAGACGTTGCCATCCTTACCCCACCCAGACTGGAGGCTCAGGAGCAAACACGTGATTGGTTTTTGCCTTTAGCCCCTAAATTGGAGGGTAGTCTGTTATGCAATAGATAACTGATGCATGTATCAGCAAAAAAAGAAATTAGGAGAAAAGCGGTGAATAAATGATACCAGCAGCATTAACAGGAACATCTGAATTAAGAAACCAAAACACAGAAAAATGTTAAAAATTGATATGAATGCATCTACCATCAAAGAAAATGCTCTAAAACAAAGATAAACATTCAGAAAAGCTGCCAGGCTAAACAATAATAATAATTTTAAAAACTGAACTCTTATCAGCTTGGGATAAAGAGTCTCATGAGTAGGAGGATTTTATTGTTTTGTGAGCATAGGTCCGTATCTATACATACTTGAATCATAGGACCTGAACCCTCAACAATCTGGGACATCTGCAAAGACCTCAGGAGCTCAGTGAGAATATAATACCTAAGTCTCAATGGAATTCAATGCCAGGTGTCACAGGCTTAACAGTTTTAGACCAAAAGAAAACCGACAGTGCCCCCATAAAATCCAATATTGCTAAATATCATGAGATCACCTTCAAGCAAACGGCACCTTCATAAGCCCTGGGAAGGGGAATGACAGAACTGTTCTAGAAAAGAGGTGTCACCGGACACCTGCGGGGGAGGCTGGAGGCTCCTACCACATCCACTGAGGTTGCCCCACAGAAAGAAAGAGCCAGGCACAGCAGGGGCACACGGCCCGTAGGGGACCGCGCAGTGGTGACAGCACAAACCCGGGCGTGATGCTGTGATCACCACGCAGACACAGGGTGACTAACGGAAGCGGTTTGTGGAGTCTGTGGAGAGGCACAGCTTTACCTTGCCCGGGCGCGGTAGGTTACAGGATGAAAGAATCTTTTAACTAATCCCGCAACGGAGCAAAATACATGAAGTACAAAGCGTACCCTCCTTCTTGTTACACGAAACATAAGAAACTAAATACTGACGTGCCCGAAGCCTCAGCTACCACATTTCCCTCTGTGCCCCCGCCCCCCGAGCGCCAAGCCAGGCCCCCACTGATGACTCTAAAAGCCGTTGATCCAGCCCAGGCTCTGCCCCGGCCCGTTCCTGCCTTCTTACCATTATCTGCTTGAATGTCTGTTAGTCCCAAAGCGAGCTTCCGCTCCACCTGCAGTCTCCCCCACCTCTGTCATTCTAGCTGCTCAGGCCAAAGCCTTGGTGCCATCTGTGGAAGGCCAGATTACTGTTCATGAATATCTGGTGCCCTCCCGAAGACTCTCTATCCCTGCCCTGTGGACCTCAGACATGGATGGATGACTTGCTTTGAGCAATGAAGCATTAGCAGAAGGGAAGTATGTCATTCTCAGTCGAAGATTCAAGAAAATCATGCCATGCACTCATCCCCCGCTGCCACAATGATTGACAATGTTCAGGCAGAGGCCAGCGCATCTGCCTGGGCTGTGGAGAGAGCAACGTGGAACGGGGCCATGGCCAACACACAGCGGGCACTTTGTGGGGGAAGCAGCTACTGCTGTCATAAGCCACCGAGACGCTGAAGTTGAAATTCATGCAGCCTAGCTTGGCCTCTTTCTCTCACATCCCATATCTGGTCCACCAGCCAATTTTCTAAATCCATCTTCCAAACATACCCTGAATTCAACCACTGCTCGTGCTCCGTTCCATGATTTCCCACCGAAATCACTGCACCGGCTTCCTAGAGAGTCCGCCCTGCCTCCGCGGCCTTGGCTTCTGCGCCAATCAGCTCAGAGCCTCGGAAGACAGGAGCCGGTCAGCCACCCCTCCGCTTCCCAGCCGCCAGCGGCTTCCCTGCCCCTGCGAAACGAAGGCAAAGCTCCCTCGCTCACCCGCGAGGCCCTGCGGCGCCCTCCCACTGCAGCGCCGACCTCACCCCACTGCTCTTGTTTACGCCACTCCTCAGTGTTTCCGGAACATACCAGGCACCATCCGATTGCACGTGTTATTTCTTCTTCCTGGAATGTTCTGTCGATTCACAGGCTCCAGATTGCGCTCACTTGCTTTTATACTCGATGTTGCCTTCTCAGCGAAGCCCTCCNGTAAAGTTTATTGTTGTTGATCATTGAATAATAAAACGAAATAAAATGTAACTGTGCATGTCTACGTATTCTTAATGAAATCAAAGCCTAGATTCTTCCTCCCTGAGTTTCCATGCATATGACAGAAACAACTCTGATAAAAATAAATCAGGAATAAGTCAATGTGGACGCCTCATAGCATGAGACATTTTAATTACACTGTAGCTCAATGTATCGACCATTTTCGTGTCAAGCATCACATTTATTTCCAGGGAATAAGTTTACACCCATTCATTCAGCACATTTGTGGGACAATTACTTTGTGTCCTGAGGGCACAGCATAACCACGATAGAGGACGGGCAGGCGCTAAGAGACCAGGGGGACCCTGACAGCAGACACACACACACCAGGCAGCACCAGTGGGAAACGGAGGAAGCAGAGGGAGCCCACAGGAAGCCCTCATCTAATAGGGGGTGACCTCATCTGATCTCAGAGATGAGGCGCCTGTAAGCGGTTTGAAAGATCAGGGGGACAAGGCTCGCAGAGCCTGTGAGCAGACAGTACACCACCTATAGAAAACATTTTAATTTACTTAGAAAATTATTTTACATTTTATTCCCAAGCATCCTTTTCTTTTGAAAGAAAATAATATGATTGCAGACTGCTCAAAGCTGCTTCTCACTACTTAGCTAATAAGTTCTTGGAGGGCAAAATCAGTTCAGACATCAAAAAACAAACAAAAAAACCTAAACTAATAAGCAAAAAAAACCCCAAAAGACAGCACCTCCTAGAGTAAGACGCAGGAATTATGGCTTCTTGTCCCGGCTTCACCACGGACTTTCCTCAGGAACCTGGGGATAAATAAGGATGCCGGCCCTGCCTCCCTCTCAGGTTTACTGCAGAGAGAAATAATGAGATAAAATATTGAAAAGTGATTTGAAATGCATAAGGGGCTTCATATACTTAAGGTGGTGGTAATGCTTCTGAAAATGGTCACCTACTTTATACTTTTTGCTACCTGGAAACCCTGCTTGGAATTCCACATGGGCAATAGGGAGTTGGCAGAGGAGGAAATGTGTTTCCGAGATATTTCTTTTGCCTAGTCACAATAATTATTACAATTACAAATTATTACAATTTGCTGTGGGCTTGCTCTGAGCAAGGCACTCTAGTGGACGCTCGGTCAACAGCGCGTCTAAATCTCACAATGACCTGACATTCTCAGTTTACAGGTGAGGACCAGCAAGGAGGAGACCCGGGCTCAGAGAGGTAAAGCAGCCAGTTCAAGGCTACAGAGCCCATGAGTGGGGCAGGGAGTTCGGCCCAGGTGTCTAACTCCAGTCTGTGCTCTCCCCACAGGCTGCCTGGTGTGGAGCTTCAGAGCTCTTCAGTGGGAACAATGAATCCCTGTAAAATGGTAAAGTCCTTCACAATCAGTTAGGAAAAGTCAATTTGCTATTTATATTCTTTTGACTCAGAGCATGTCACTGAAGTTTAAAATATTTATAGTAAAGCTGGCAGGATATTTTAACAGCGGCACGAGGGAAATATTCACAGAGCATCTGCCTAGCTTACGTACATTCTTAAGAAAATCTCACTGCTTAAGGATGTGAGCAAACAATTCAGCAGACACCATTGCCAGTGACACGCACCCCGCCTCACAGATAACCATGATGACGCAATTAAAACGATGAGAGATCACAATCATCCCATTTCTGAAAATTGAAATCCACCAATGGCAGAGGGAAAAACAGTGGAACACTCCCAAACTGCCAGTGGAAGTAAAAATTGGGAAATGTCTTTGGAGAGCAGCTTGCCAGGATTCAGTCAAGTTCAGGAAGCGCATGCTCGATCACCCAGCAATTCCGCTCCTGCCAACAGTCCCTGTCAACTTTGCATTTGAAAGAAATTGAAAACAACCAAAATGGCCAGCATGAGAAGATTGGAAGAATTATAAATAGTCATACATTGGAATACTGTACAGCAGTTAAAATTAATTGGATCTAAATATATCCACATGAATAAATTGGGGGGGAGGGTTGAATCACAAAAACAAGTTGTAAAACAATATGTACAGAATTATACAGTTCACGTAAAGTTTGAGAAAACAAAACTATAGAGAAGGAGGGAAGGAAAGGAATGGAATTGCAATAAAATAATTTTATTGGCAACATTTTGTTTCTTAAGCTGGGTGGCAGGACTTGAATATTAATGTTATTTTATGCCCGAACTATTTAATAAAAGACTAGAAGAAGGTACTGCACACATGCATGGATGTATTTCTATCCTTATTTTTGGCTTACTCATCTTCCAAGTAAATGTGTATCCAGGAAGCCTCTACTTCAAATGATGTCAAAGTGTTATAAAAAGGTGATTCGGTTTCAGATTCAGAAATCCACGGGAGTTATGTGTCCTTAACATTTTCTACATCCCAACAATACATTCAACCCAACTAGAAACTAAGCTCCTTGAAGAGAGTG